CGGACAAATTTTGGCCATGGCAGGTCAGATGAGAATGACTGTGCTGTGCCTGAAGGATCCTGCAGATATAGGAAATGAATGTGTATATCTGTTAAAGTGAAAGTGTTTCAGTCTTTTTGTGAGTGTGTTACAGTGGATCAAAGATGCCTTGAAAGAGAAACACTTATTTATGATATCTGGCACCAGTTGTTCCTGAACTCCTCACGGTGCCCTTGACTGTGGCATCGCAGTGGCTGGCCTCGCACGACGAGAGCCTTCTTTTAATCCTGACGGATGTGGGCTGTGACTAAATTTGCATACACAACCCATATTTTTTCACCCTTCGATGGCTCACGTATTCACACATCAGTCTCATTCTGCATATGTCTACTGAAAATGCTTTGAAATCTGAGTGTCAAACTGAAGTAGTCTGGGACATTCACGTGTGGGCACAGCTGCTGGTTCTGCTAAAATGGTAAAAGTGTGATTTTGAAACAGAGGTTTTTTTTCCTGTTTCCGCCCCTGCTGGTATAACTCTTCTCAATCACTCAACACTATCACGGGGCAGTGCTGGGCCTGCGCCAAGAGATGATGTCATGGAATTGCCTCACCTGTTTCCCTTTTGTGTAATCAACCACTCTGTACTATTCAGGTGTGACTGAATTGTCCCAAATGCTAATGCGCGTGTGTGTGTGTGTGCATGTGTATGAGTGCGTGTGATTACACTTCTTGTGTGTAAGCTTTACAGATCATTCACTGTCTGTCTGGTTATAAAGAGATTGTCCTGCAGCAACTGTAAACCTGCCTGGAGTAACGCCACAGAGGGCCGGCCACCCAGCCGCCTGCCAGGCGCACTCATAATGCTATAGTGAAGACTCAGTGGTGTGTTCCTAGTTTCCATAGTTCAAAAAAAGGAAAAAAAGTGTCATCTACTTTTACTATTTTTTTCTCTGTGGGGTGATTTCATTGTACGCAACAAAAGCTTATCATGCAGAATCTGAATGAATATATGATCACAGTACATTTCTGAAATAAATTATTTTTGAATGTTAGCGGTTCTGGTGCTCAATTGCAAACTGTGCAGGGGGGCTGGATGGAAGGGGGGAAATGAAAAGTGCAGGGCTAAAGATTATGCTTACAGGTGCTGGTTGGGAAATTAAAATCATGACTATTGTAACATAGTCCAAAGCTACATTCTGACCGACAATAGCTCTCAAAATGTGGTCTCTCCATTAATTTTAGTTTGACTTTAGGAAAAAGGCAGTCATCCGTAAATAAAGTATATTCTGGCTCAACTTTTGCCACAACCCACATGACTTCTGTTCTGAGCTCCAGCAATAGTAGTCAGCGGTCACATACATCAAGCAAAGCCATTTCCACTGTGAACCTTCTCCTCACTACCATCCCTGCTCTATCACAGTGGATGAAACAACATAAACACAACCATCGCACAGCAGTAATCTCATAATTGTTGAGATAGTATATAAATGACTATTATCCTGCCTCAGAGGATTATAATATGACACCAGAGCAGTGATTTGGCATTTGATAAGCCATCAGATTTGCTCAAACTGGACTTCCTGATTCTGTGAGTTCTTCCTCTCATTGACATGTACCAACACAGCAATGCACAGACTTTGCATTCGTTTGGTGAAGGGCTATTTTCAGTGTCAGCGTGGCTTTAATTAGTATTTCCAGGTAAACGGTGAAACGTGTCTAATACCCAGGGTGTATCATGTCACAAAAACCACCTTACTTTTAACGACATGTCATAAACACATCAAAGGAAAACGTTCAAAAACGTGAGAGGACACGATGCCAGCAATGCTCTGTGTATAAATGCTTTCTGTAAGCACATGTGGGATCTGTCGATGCCTAATTAGGTGATGAAATTCCACCTAACCTTGGTGTTTCTCAGAGCAGCAATAAATTGGATCAGTGTAGATGCTGTGAAATCCTGTTATCTGGTTACAAATGTCCCCTCCTGACTTTTTCATCTTCCTCTGCGCACCCTGATAACCACAATTCATTAGCTCATCTGTTCCTTGGTCGACTAAACTCAGCTCGGTTGGCCCATTAAACCCACCAGACTGCACATAAATTGATACTTATATGTATTTAAGCCACAAGCAATGTGTTTGAATTTGAAAAAGTGACTGAACTAACAGACACATCCTTGCATGACAGAGGCACATGTATAGTGTCAGATGGTGTTAGATGCTAATTGGATCACAGTCAACTTGATCCAGGGCTAACCTACTAAACACATAGGCAAGAGAAGAGAGGAGATTAGATGGGATAGGACAGAAGAGGGAATTGGAGCGAGTGCGTCCAGAGCGCTAATCTCTTTTTTGAAAACACATGGGAAATTTGCCTCCGACAAAAGATTCACAGACAGGAGGTATTTCACTTGCTCAAATGTTCATTTCCCTCTGTCACTCTCCCTCAGGAAATGAATGACAGAAAAGAGTGAGCTGGTGGTCCCTGTTAAAAAGGGGAGCCCAAGGTACTAAATAGCCCTGATGAGCTTTGAGAACACACAGTTGGAATATTAAAGGATTCAGACAGAAGGTGTAGTTCAAAGGAGTTTGAAACCCTGAATTTAATTGCCTCATTTGTGAGCTTCACTGAGGGTGGATTGGGGATTTGAAGAGGATATACTGGCAGCTGGAGAAAGGATACTAATTTGAGAAAGAGGATATTCCCAGAGTGCCTTTTATAAATGCCTTTCTAATGTACTGTTTGGTGGCTGCTTAAATTTGTTCCCGACTTAATGTGCATTATGGGAAAGAGCACACAAATGACCATAGCCATTTTGGTAAGTCACTCTCACTCTTATTTCAGCTTGGATGCACGCTTTAGTTTCCACAGTGTGTGGTTCAAGCCAGATCTACTTAGGGATCTGAGACAACTGAAAATTGTGACGTAAATTGCTGAAATTGTTGATGAAGTCATATTTGGTCACAGTTATTTTAATCCTTGTTGGTCTGTCCAGTTGACTGCCTGAAAAGTAGAGTCCCTCGTGTCCCAGTTTATTACTGTAGCCTTTCCTGGCTGTATGCATTATATAACACATAACACAAAGCCACACAAGGAAGCAATAATTGAATAAGGGGCCCACTTCAGGGTAATGCACCATCAAGGTTTTGTGTTCCTGCATACCCTCAGTAAAGTTCTGAAGGACCCAAACAGAGCCTTCCACACACTCTGCACCACTAATTGGTCCATCATGCAATGATATAAGAGCTGACGATATTTACAGGTGGGCGACCGAGGCTCTTGCAGACAGGTGGGCGTCAGTGGTGCAACAAGAGTTAAAGTTCACACCTGAGGACCAGATGACTGTTGTAACCACACAGGCACAAGCTCCTTTCTACATTACCTGAATGTGTTATGCATCAAAGGTTGTAAATTTGCTTTGTGTTTGTGAAATTAAAGGCCATTTTTCTAATGTCATCTGGAAATTGTCAAAAATAATTTGAGCAAAGAGCACCGAGTCTACCCTAATTACCTTCATGGCTATTATGACTTAGTAATATTATAAATCAATATGTCTGGACCTTTAATTATACTAATGGGCTACTTTGCAGTACATTTGCCCTAATGCTATACAAATCATAAGTGGGAAGAGCATTAATTCCTGCAGAATTTTATGGACTCGCGCTCAGACCGCACATTTCTGGTATTTAGTGAGTATTTTGAATAAATATGCCGTAAGCAGAATGTTTTACTACAGAGACTACATGCTCATACTGCGTAAAAATTGGCATTTGTGTGTTGCTACATGCATGAAAAAGAGTGGGATTGTTATTGTTATACCATAATAATGGCTAAATGTTCCTATTATTAAATCTACTTTTATCTAAGGTAGAACACCAATGCTTATACAACATGATTTTTGCAGGTCGACCAATTACTTCAAAAGATGTAATAAAGCAATAACACTGGGTTCAATGTGAAACAGATCTCCACCCCCCAAAGGTAGGGTTTGAGTGAAAAAAGTTCAATGGGTCCTGCTGATTAGATTCAGGTTCAAATAATTTTAAGTTCAATTCACAATGGGGAAAAAGGCAAATGGAATAGTTGGACCTTTTGGGAAACACACTTATTATTCTGCTTTCTTGTCAAGAGTTAAATGAGGAGATTGATACCACTCTTGTGTCTCCAGGGTAAATCTGAAGTAAAGGCCAAAGGCAACAAAATCTAACTGCACCTAAAGCTCACTAATTAATACTTTGTGTGTTTTTAATTAAAGTGTAAAAATGCCAAAGTGTAGTTTTACGGGGTAATGTGCTATTGGTGCGTTCCATTTACTTTGGAAGTCCTAAGTCGGAGCTCGGAATGACATTATACCCCAGTTGATTGCGTCCCAGTATAACAAGTTGGAAAACCAAGCTCTAGCCATGGTTATCCATTAGCCATTGTTAGCATGTCATACACACATTACTGTCCAACTAATGCCCACAGACATTAGTTGGATGGTAATGTGTGTATGACAGATTTAATGACACAAAAGACTTGTTGCTAAAAAAAACAGTAGGCTATAGTTTTCACTTAGTTGATTTGAGGAGCAGCCATCTTGGATTTTGAGGTTAGTGATGTTCTTCCAACTTTCCTAGATGGATATCCGACTTCGGGGGCATTCCAGTTGAAATGTGTTTCCAGTCTTCATGCTAAGCTAATGTAACCATCTCTTGGCTGTAGTTTCATATTTACCCTGCAAGTTTAAGAGTGGCATCAATCAAAAAAGTGAATATTTGAGTTAGCAAAATGTAGGTCTGTCCCTTTAAATTTAAATTTGACTAAATCCTACTGTTGTGTGCTTTTCCCCGAACCGTTTGGAGATCCCATTTAATTGCCATTGGCCCCGAACTGAACGCCTGGGAGCCCCACCAAGTTGAAGTTCTGCCTTTTGTTATGTGTTGTTGATAAACGGTGCTCTGGCCCTTTAAACCGCAGCAGGAGGTGGTGCTCCCCCGGCACACGAGGGGAGGGGAGAGGCGGGGAGGGCAAGGGGGACGGCCGCTTTGTGCGCCACACAGATGCAAACTAAACGGACATTGGAGCACCAACGAGGGGACTGTCCTGCCGCAACTCTCCTGCTTTCTCCTGCCTTCTCCTGCCGAGGAAACTAAGCTGAATTTGTAGTGACACAGAGGCTTCTCCACTAGCTTTGCTGTTCTGTTGTGTTTACGGAATGTTGAGTGGAATATAACCTGAAAGTTCCCCGTCGCTCGGGCCGTAAAGAAAGGTAACATTTCTTCTTCATAGAGTTAAGTGAGCTATAATGTCCTGTTGTATTAAACTTCTTTATGCTTGTTCTGCGAGCGACGACTTTTAGTGAGTGTTCGGCTGTAGCCAGTGTGTCTGATATAGTTTCGAGGCGACTCTGTGGGGTCAGGGAACAGGGAACAGGCTATGTCTAAGCCAACGGTGTGAAATCTGCATCTCATTTGAATCTCAAATCTGCCTGTGGACAATCAGCGCCTGGCAGTCTCGTCGAGCTCTTGGCTGTCCCCTTATGGAGCGAAGTCACTGAGCCCTCTGGCGTCTTCTGTGTCCTCCCATCAACCCAATCAAGACAAGAAAGCAAAGGGCAAGCCATAACATCATCAAAGTCAACACTTCAGCTCAAGGAATTATCTTTTTGGGTCAAACATGTGCTTTACAATTCATTCTTTATTTCCAAATGCTCTTCCTCTTGGCTTGCTTGTTCTGTTTAACCTGGAGAAACTTTTACCTATCGTTATAATAGCTCTTTAACCATGCATGCAGTCTGGATCATGGCCACAAAGTTGTGCAGAGCTCCGCAAACTGCTTTTCCAAACATTTTCTCCAACTACAGAAGATTACTGACCTGATTACATTTTTGGAACCCATTTTGTAAGAAGTCTTGCTTTTGTGTAATATATTATGAAACAACAGTTTTAGTGGCGAGACATAAACCACTATAAGCTGGTGAAAGGGGTCATTAAGTGGGTTAAATAACAGTGAAAGGAAACCATTCCACATTTGGGAACCCCATTAGGAGTCCCGAAGGGTCCACATACCTCTGGACTCACACAAATGACTAATAACTTATTCACTTCAATAGTGAGAACCAGGTTGCAGAGTCTGAAATAAGTGTCCCAAATAACTATTTCCAGCTACAGGACAGGATATGGTTTAATCTGAGCAGGCAGATGGAAGCATCAGTTCTCTTCACTGAGAGTTACGTAACATTAATACTCTCTGCTGTGGGGAGACAAAACACTGTTTGAAATCTCTGAGAATCCACCAGGAGCTCAACAAACCACACAGCCACTTTCACCCCCCACTCCCAAATTTGTCCACCATCCCGCTTCATTAGCGAGTTGTTCCTGTTTGTGTTTACAGACCTGGCACTTGCCTCTCATGGTCACCATGCCTGATGAACTGGGTAATTTGCTCTGGAATTGCCGCCGTGGCTGTATACCTGCCCGGCCTCATTCATCATTCTGCGATTGGAGGCAGTGTAGTGTGTGCTCGACTTTAACTGTGCTGACCGTAAAGTCTGCAGGCCCGTTTTATAACCTCCAGTCTCATTATTCCTCGCTCATCGCCACCAATCAGCCCTTCGTTCCTGTTAAACCGCCATGTCTGTTCAAATGTAGGTGGACATATTGACTTATAGGCTTTGCTTTGGTGTTGGACCGTTGCCCTCTGACCCCCTCCAACACTCACACACACACACACACAAACACAACCACACCCTAACGACAGCCCTCAGTCCGATTTGTCATTTTGCTTGATGAATCATTCACCCAGCACTGTACTGGTAGCTCTGTGATAAAGAGAAAGAGAAAAGAGAAAGAGGCAGTTTAGGGGGAGGGGGGGGACATGCTTAACTGTACAACTTGAAGTTGACAGGACAGATGTAGGCCAAGGTCAGACTCTGCCTGATCACCATCACGCCAGCAGCGCCACTTTTTCCCAGCGTCCTCTTGCTTTTCTGTGTCTCTTCCAGTGACCGGAGCGGCGCATTATAAGGCGCACACACACTTCAGGCCTTTCAGCTCCACATTGTACGGCTTCTCCCGAGCTGCCAGGCAGATATCTCCATCAGGATCTATTGTGTGCGCTGCAGAGTCAGAGGGGAAGGGAATCTCTGTGTGTGTGTGTGTGTGTCATCTCTGACTGTGCTTTTTTTTGCAGTGGAGGCTATTTCAGTTTGCTCTGGAGGATACTGCTTCTGCGTAGCGAGGAAGCTGGCTACCTGCCCGACTCTGACTGCGCTGAGGTCATTACTGTTTTATAGTGGGAGGAGGGCGCGCAGGAGTGGGGGTTGGGGAGAGGCCGTTAGACTCATTTGCACTCTGTTTCTCATGAAAACACTAACTTCAGGCGGTTTCACATGCAGTTAGTTAAAGTGGATGGGAACTCATTTCCTTGTGAATCTACAATGAGTCCGTATTTTATTGCCGTGTGTCTGGATTCCATATTCATATGAAGGTTTAATGTATGGAGTGTAAACTTTTTGCTTTAATTTATATGAGAGAAAAAATATAAATGACTGAAGTGGAGTCAGATGTGATGAGTTACACTATATTACACGTTCTTGCTGCTTCCCGTGCCTTAGGAAAGGCCTATGTAAATTGTTTGCGGTCTCAGTAAACCACCTACTCTTATCCCATGCTCCATAGGAGACCGACAGGGAATGATGGGAGAATGTCTTGACATTTGGTCTTCTGCATGGCTTTGCTGCAATTACACGGCCTGCGCAAAAGGTCATACAGTTGGGGGAAACAAGGAAAACTCACTAAAAAGAATCAGTTTTTAGGAATCATTGTGGGCATGTTGTGAGAACGTTAGACATGATGATGGTTTCTACAGAAACAGAACAAAGAGGGCAGTTTGTCCATAGCAAAAGTTTTTAGTTGTCACTAAATGTAGATAAACTCTGAGTCAAAGTCAAAATGTATTATGTAGAAAAAATACTTCTTGGAATCTTGGAATATTGGATGCGATTCAGGGGTGCACTTCAGAGCTCTGAAGTTGTGGAAGCCTCCCGATTTCTGTGAAGTATCAATCACTTCAGAAGTGACGGATGTGTAATATTTTCAGCTGTTGATACTGGAAAGCATCGAGGCTCATGTTGATCTCACTGAGGAGAGTTGTTTTGTCTCAGACAATTACAGGATTCACCCCGCCTGCAAAGAAAGCAGCGGGGCCTTTGAACTCTGAGGAGAAATCATGCTGAGGATACTTGAGTAATCTTTGAACAGGCTTTATATGGAAGCAAAATCCAACGTTGCGTCAACGTCTTCATGCTTTTCACACAGTATATCTACCTTTGAACTTTGAGCAAGAGAAACACACCGACCAGAAGTCCATCAATCAGTATCTGTAAACAAAGGTTTGCATGTGAAAATGTAATCATTTAGCCCTGTGGTACCCAACCTTTGTGGCTTGTGGGCCCTTAAAACAAGTGATGAATGAGTGATTTTCCCTAGACCCCTTGTTTTACTTGAAAAGTTTTTATAGATTAAATTATCCAGTAATCCAAGAAGAAAATCATATATTTTAGGAAAATCTTGAAGAACAGAAACAGAGAGATGTTTTTGCTGTCAACCTATCCTGTTCATCATCTTGTAATCTCTGGGTAGAGAACCACCGACGGGTTCATTATTGTTCTCTAGAAAGTTCTAATTTATTTTTGGAAGAGTAGGTCTATTTCAAAAGCTCTTCATCTGGAGCCACGCAGTTTGAGTGTTGAAGAGTTAAACAGGTCAAAATGGTGTCTAACCTCCTGATGTTCACCATTCAGAACAAGGAGAGAGAGAGAGAAGACCCTAGCTGGTTCTGCCACAGCGGCACCACCAGGCTTTTACCATCCCATTTAACAACAACATCACAGCTGTTCCCACTGGGGATAGGAACACTTTCACTTTTTCTTTTGCACAACAACCCATATACACCTGTCACTCGGTCATTCAGATGTGTGTGTGTTTGGGTTAGTGTCAGTGTAACGTGACCACTGTGGAGGAAAATAACCAGTTCAACAGGAATTATGTTCCTGTGCTGAGTCATTTCACTCCCTTCGTAGAAACACAACTACTCAAAATACCATATTATGTAATACTATCAAACATTTACTGTGTCTTTATAGTGCATCACCGTCACCTGTCATTGTTTGTGTTCTGAACTGCATTGTTTAGAGCTGTAAAACCTGTTTGGATGATTATCTTGTCTAAAGTTTCACTGAAGCTAAACGTGACCAGCATGGGGGGTTGGTCTCACGTTGCGAAAGTTTTCTGAACATCCTCTGTTGTTTCTGTTTTATACAAGGACGCCACAGAACCGCGTCACCCATCATCAGCTGGCACACCTGTCCGACTCACATCATTTGGAATCCTCTCTAATGACAGTACGTGATCGTGAAAACATAGTTTGGAACATTTGTCACACCTTTAACTTTCAGATGAGGTCCACCAGTGGCGCTGATTTAAAGTGGAAATCTGGTAAACCTGGGTCTTATTCTCATGTCTGTTCTCACCCCCTCCATTGTGGAGATTTGGTAAAAACCAGACTTTTGGAAGAACAGCATTGAGTGGTTCACCGGGCTGGAAAGCCTCCGGGTTATTGTTATAAGTTTGTAGTCTCCAAGCCCAAGCTGAGATAATCCTACTCAACTACAATTTAAGGTGTAAAATCGTGGAGTGCCACTTTTAAATTACATTTTTTGTAAAGCTGTAGGAAGTCTGAACCCCTTGCCCCGGTCAAAGTTGTTCTTTTGAGAGTTGTTTATGACAAAGAGGCCTCATATAATAAAATGTTGTGCAATAGAGATAAAACCCCAAAAGGTGCTCTTTTTTTTATTTTTTAGAAAACCTTTCCTCGTAAGCAGCATACATTATTGTCATCTCCCCACTTGAGTAATCAAATTAATTAGAAAATCTTTTGTCGCTTTTGTTGAAGCTGATAATAATGCAGGAGTTGTTTCTGAGAGCTGTATTTATCAGCTGAATAGTGTAAGTGAAACATAAATCGACCCGCCTTTCTCTGTTCCATCAGCTCTGTCATCTGTAGCAGCACTAATGCCGGCTTCTATACACAGTTAAGCATTAACTACATATGATTGCATTAAGTTTCCCTCCTCCACCCTTAGTCACTGACACAGTGTTGCCCGTGGTTGTGCAATATATGTTGACTCCACTATGACTGGGTCATACATTCAAAACACACGAGCGGTGGTGTGCAGCTGGCTGTTCTGGTCTAGGCTTTGGCCTGTTT